CAGGGTGCAGAACTAAAGGGATCTTACGTAGTTTTGGAACACAATGCACGCAAGGCAAGGTCAACCGTGACGTTCGCACTTTTCAAGAATTTCGCGACCCCCTCCTTTAGGGGGTCTCGATGCGACCCCCACCACCACCATGAGACTCAGGAGGCTCCCCAATACGACCCCCTTCTCCCTACCCCGACCACCACCCTCGCCATCATGGCTGTTTCTATAGTATTTGATTCTGAGACCAGTCGACACAGCCCAACTCCGCCCACTTTTCCCCCAAAAAAGGCGTCGAGCGGAGGGGGGGGGCATTTTTGTGCGATGAAACGGCTAATTTTCTCTCTTCCCGCCTATCCCACCCCACCCCACCCCCGCCCACGCTGTGCATTACGTCCTTACATCCTCCAAAATCACTCAGAAAACCGATCTAAATCGCCTTACCGAGTAGGACGGGATCATGGGTGGGGGACCCAAAGCGATAATAGCTGATAATGGCAGATAAAATCGATTTGCGCAAGAGTATAGAGGTCACTCAAGTCCAGACTTTAGACTTTCATTTGCGTAGGTATCATAAGCCTAAAATATAATCAAAGGATACCGCTGCGCTCCACAGAATTACCAAGAATGTATGGTGATAATCGGGGAAATACGATAACGAGTGCTGGGCATTTCTATTTCACATCAACACAATCCGACCGCTAAATTACACTGACATTCGATGCATGGTGGTTGTTTACAGACACCACTTTAGCTCCGCACTCCACTGCGCGTATCAAACGGTGAGCTTCTGCAAAGATGGCAGCCTATGGAACGGTCAGCTAACGCATTTTACGAAGCAACTCAATGTTTAGCGACGAACCTAAGGCCGTGTTCATAGTTCGCGACTCCGGAGATTAGGATAGTACGCGACAATGAAAAACATATGTATTGACGGGGATTTAGGATAGTAGTAGATTAGGATAGTAGTAGAGTAGGAGATTGCGCTGACAAGATTAGATACGTATCGATTGAAATCGCTGGAGAGTAGTAGATTGCGATATTACGATAGTAGGATAGTAGTAGAGTAGGAGATTAGGATAGTAGTAGATTAGGATAGTGCGCTGACAAGATTAGATATGTATTGATCTATTCGCTTGAAGTCGCCCAATCTACTACTCTCCAGCGATTTCAATCGATACGTATCCAATCTTGTCAGCGCAATCTCCTACTCTACTACTATCCTAATATCCTGTCGCCTACTATCCTAATCTCCCGAGTCGCGAACTATGAACGCGGCCTAACGCTTTATCAGCTGTCCTGCTTCACCTAAGCCTTCCGTTTCATGCGCGCGGAAGCGTGCGGAGTTAGACTGGTACATCATTATAGTATTGAATCTCCTGAGTATTCGGAGAAGTAAGGAGTACGAAGAAACTTTCAGAGTGTCGACAAGGTGACACGTCGTCAGTATTAAGAGCAAAGACAAATCTCGAGAATACGGAACACGGGCAGTCATCACACAAGTTAGATGTTGGACGTTGCATCCAAATCTTCTTATCACTAAATAGTATGAGGAATTAGACAAGTGTTCACACAAAAAAAAATACCGACGAAGTTATTAAATAAATTAATACCTTGGATATCGGTTGGTCAGGGCGGAAGTGGTGTAGTGACAAGTGGCGCGCTTACCACGCGAGCGGTCCGGGGATCAAATCCTGGGTCGTGAGTCGCCCGGGCCAACCAAGCCTTCCATCCCTCCGGGGTCGGTTAATTGGTACCAGACTTGTCTGGGAGGATAAAAACACTGACTTGAACATCGGCTGGCCCCCGCAAGTCATTATACAGGGGTGGCCAAAAAAAAGAGACACTTCACTCAACATTCAAAACGGAATTATTTACGCGTCGCGAAACCAAACCAAATGACCCCAACTGAATATTGAAGAGCACGTTATAATCTATCAACAAGCTACACAACAGCCTTCTACACCGACGACATCAGAAGATTTTCCCACGGAAGCATTGTGCGCGGTACGATCTCAACGAGGTCGTTGAGATACCATAGACGATTACGACGTCTCTGAAACGCAGGTCAAAAGCGGTTTTGCACATTCACAGCTAATGTCTCTGGGAAGCTATTCAACAATTAATTCACTGAGGAAATTGTGTAGCAGCTTCAGGTCGGAGCGATTTCGGTAAGCCTCGTTGAGCTCGACGGTGACGGCAGATGACGTCATATTCTGGAGACGGCAGGGGCAGTGAAGGAGTGCTTGCTTCTGTTTACGGAGGAACAACTAAGGAATATAACGCCATAAAACTTTCATTAACATCGGCTCCCTGTGTGACGAAAAGTTCGATGATGTGCGCCATGGGCTGAGTGTCTCTTTTTTTTTGGCCACCCCTGTATAGGCCACATCGCATTCAAATGCCACTGCGAATGTACAAATGGAAGTAGAATGCGTGCCGCATCCCAAAAAGGGATTGATCAACGGCAAATGCTTTATCCTTTATCCTTTATCAATTTGTTTCGGTAGTTGTGAGCCCGAGTGATGACTATCTGGCTGGTCCCGTCGCTCACTCTGCATTATATGCACGTGATAATGAAGGTGGGATGAACCAAACGCAACAAATGAGGAACCCACAGGACTTGCGGTATCGATGATTCGTGAATTTGTGGTCGCGATAACACCCTCCAGTGCCTTGCCTACAAAAATATGAGACACTCTCGATCATCCCTGCAGTGGCTGGCGAGAGGAGGGCTGTTGAGGCGGAGGTGGAGACCCAACCTCGAATGAAGTAGTGTAAGCTCGACGACCGCTACCGACGAGGAGGTCTTTCAGGGCAAGGTGCGCTTTTTCAAAACGGTTTTGTGCATATTGTAGGGACGCATGTAGTAACGCAAAACCATGTTTCATTTTCGCTGAACGGTTATAGCAGCAGTTTACCAAAAAAGAAGCAAGGTACTGTTAAGGGTTCGATCCCTCCGTGGCGACTAAATTTTGCATTTGGGTTGGCGCCTACGGTTTGGTGCCAAATCGCGCTAAATATCAAAATCAGATGTCAAATTCATCGTCAGGACCATTTTGAAGCCAACAAGTGGCCGCCAACCTTGATTGCAAAATTTAGTCGCCGCGGGGGATTGAACCATCAAGAGTATTATTCACCACTTTTTTGGTACTACTAAAACCGTTCAGCGAAAACGAAACATGGTTTTGTGGTCCATACACTACAACATGTACTAAACCGTTTCCAAAAAGCGCACCTTGCCCTGAAAGACCTTTGTGAGATTTCAAAATCCAGGATGATGTTATAATCGTGACGCACTTTACACTTGGTGTAGTCATCGCAACTAGGGAATAGGAGAGATGGGGCGAGGTGGCGAAGGGAGGGGAATTTGAAAGCGAAATTCACCAACGAACCTGGCCCGAGAGTTGAGGTTCATTCATAATGGGACGTCGTATGGTGCCGCATATAGCCCCTAATAAATGATTCTTACTATATTAGGTAACCTTTTGCTGACCACCTGCATCCCCCCCCCTCCCTTTCACCCCACCCACCCCACTCACGCAAATTTGACACATAAGTGTAAAAGAGCTGATCTCCGTGATCAACTTCATGTCATTCTCCTCAAGATACAGGTGGATGCATAGGCTCCAGATCAAAGGGGGTCTACAACTGTTCGCTAAGATAACGACCAAAAGGATTAATCTAGACAGCGTAAAGTTCTCGCTTTGATCCACGCACCAGGGGTGAAGTGGTCTGTGCCGCTTGCCACTTCACCAACTCCACCACAGCCTCAAACTCCACCCCCCCCCCCCCAGATGAAGAGCAGGAAAACTCGTCGGAATCCAATAGATTGTTGAAACGCAGTAGCATAAGGGCGGTTGCCAAAACGACAACGAGCGACCAAAGCGTTCGAAGATAGCTGTGATCCTGGCTTCAGTAGGTAATGCGAGTATATAGATTAGTCTTCAAAGTTCACTTGATTTCAGTTTCCGAACCAACATCTCAACGACAGAGAAAGTCTAGGATCCAATCTATAATTCAGTGTACAGAGAAAAGCTCTATGCAGTGAGTAAACCAAGCATTGTCATAAATAGTTGTACGACATTCGTCACTTTTTGTGATTCCATCAAGATGGATTTAGGCAATGTGACATTTCTGCGAATTTCATATACGTTTCGGAAGTGGATTTGCAAAAATCAGAATCGGTTTGGAGTTTCTTACCGCCAATAATGAACAAGGAAATAAAACTGCACGCAGAGAACAGGTAACTTTGCAAAGGACAAGACGAGTTCCACGGCCGACTGGCAGCAAATTTCTTCTGCAATTTTTTGCTTCTTCGTAGCCACAATAGGTATGGAAAAGCGTTAAGTTACGAAGCTATAGGTGGGAGGTGGTCTGTAAAAGAGAAGGAAAGCATTCCAGAAACTGATAACGATTGATAAGGGCCGATAAGGCGCGCCAGGACGCTGAAATCGTCGATTCCGTTGCCTGGTATAAATAAATGACGATACAAATGAGATATTAAGTAGACATCGCTATTATTCACAAAAATTAGCTTAGAGCTACTACGAAAGAGGAATGTAAGCGAGACTGATGAGAGGGAAACTGGCATTCGAACGATTTGATACAAATTCAAGTAGGTAGAAAATGAAGGCGATGCGATAGGATTCCGGCCGATTCATCCACCGAAATCGGGCACGAGTATGGGTGTTGAATATATGAAAGGGTTGTACAGATGGTCTTAGCGACTGGAGTGTGAGACAGGCGAAAGGTGAGTGCTCAGCATGATTGCATCAGCTGGACTGACTGCATAGTACGCGCTCGATTTGGAAGCGCCAGACAACCACGGATCTGGAACCTCCCATAGCAGTCGCGCAGTCTAGACCGCTTCCAGCGCGCGACGATAGTGCACGCAGTCACAAATTGCTCCTCATTCTAAGTAAAAAATCTCTTTTCAAAACATCGAAATCTGGCTACAGCAATGTCATAACGAATAACGGATTGAATGGAAGAACGAGAACTGATTTCAGATAAGGGCATTCGTCGAAAATGCTCTGATAAAAGGACCGAAAGGACTTGTAGCAGAATTCAGACAAATTCCCAAATATGATGACACAACAAAAATGACCGAGTTTCTCGAACAACATGCTAACAAGAAGAATCGATATAGGGTAAGCCACAATATTCACCAGAAGTGAACATGCATTTTGCAGACAGACACAAACTATGAATTAAGCTTCGATAGACCGACACACCAAGCAGATTCGTTGAAATCAGTTAATCATAGCTTTCAGGACGTTGGTTGCTTCGACGACAATCGTGTAATTCTGACACTGGGACCCACCACATACATCCATGCCAACTACGTTGCGACACCAAGCCATCCGAGAAAATTTGTATGCACACAGGTAATACTCGAGCCGTTCAACTATGCCTTTTGGTTACCTCATCAAA